CATACCTTCTGATCGTTTTAACAAAAACCATTCATGCAACACTTTATCAAGATTTTCTAATTTGGGCCGATGTAAACTTTTTCTTTCAGCAATTTTATTGTAAGGCTCAGAAGAAGTTGTGAATTCTAGAATTTTATTCTTTGCCTTTTTTATATCATAAATTGTTGATTTTCCAATGTCGTATGTTTCCATTAGAACAGCATTGCTCACACCACGTTCTAGTTTCTTAAGTATTTCAAGTTTGTCACTCAATTTCAATGTGTTCTTCTTTCTCTTCACACAACGAAGTTTTATCTACTTTAGGAGCCATTATTATGGGCTTGCAAATGGAAAGAGTAGGACTCAAAATTACATACGTTGTCACAGTTTGATTGCTTGTTTTAAAGTAGCGATCGAGTGGTCGCTTGTTGTCGCTGTGGCATTCACACATACACACAAAAGATTTATAGTGCCTCAAATTTTACATTTCAGGACAAGCTAATTACAAAACTAACAAAATTAGCTACCTATAATTTACAATTACTTTTATTATTAGAATTACGTAAATTAATTTTTTTAAAGCAACTCCATTCATTCACGTAACCCACAAAAGCCCGCTAAATTTAAAAAGTTTGAAAGTTTTCGAAAAGTCCGGATTCTCGGGTGGTCCGGATTTTTGGCATCCGGATTTTTGGACTTTTACTGTATATCACAAGTGAATTAGGATAGAATATTATTGTAATACAACAGTTTTTTAACTGAAAACCATTTGAAAAGCGATTACGCTAACATCTTTTGAACGAAAGAAAGCGAAAGTCATTGTTTTCGTCACGATTTTATCCCACTTTCCACTGTAATACGTACGTCATTTCAGCAAAAATATTACATTTCCATATTCTGAGAAATAAATAGTAGTTTTGCTGAAACGTGATGTATTTGAATGTAAATTAGGATAAACTACATGACGAAAACAAAAGGCTTTACCTAACCTTCCGATGTTCAAGAAATGTTACTCATTTTTTTAACAGTTTTCGGTTAAAATACTGTTATATTAGTGATATTCTATTCATACTGTGCTTAATATAATACATTCACGGAAATGTAATATTTTTGCTGAAATGACGTACGTATTACAGTGGAACGTGGGATAAAATCGTGACGAAAACAATGACTTTCGCTTTCTTTCGTTCAAAAGATGTTACCATAATCGCTTTTCGAATGGTTTTCAGTAAAAAAACTGTTGTATTACAATAATATTCCCTCCTAATTGACTTGAATAAATACTCGAATGGAAATATACAATATTTTTGTTGAAACTACCCGCATTTCAGTGTAAAGTGTCGTAATAATAAACGGTAAACAATTTGCCTTCGGCACTCGGTGTTTCAGGCACGGCGAGCCTTAGTTTATAGGACGTAGAGTGTTTTTACTGAAGGTTTTGTTGTTCCATTACCCTCAAAAACTTGGGTCGACCTATAAACGAGGGAGGGTTATAGACGAGTATACATTGTATACGGTACTGTATTGGCGGACTAGCCGATCAGCTGATGCGCACAACAAAGAGTGTTTCTCATAAGGCTGTCGTTAATCAAAGTTTTGTTTGTTAATGGAATTGAAAATCCTTATGGGAGCTAATTCGTTAACTGAAATTTCATTAATTGGACCATTCGTTAATCAAGGGACCACTGTATCTTCAAACTCAGCTGACGGGAGCAGCTAGGAATCTTATCCAGGGGTTCCAGTGCACTAATGATAACTATCAACTGGCCGTTGACTTCCTTGAAGAAATATATGAGAATTACGAAGGGCGATTAAGGAATAGGCAAACAAGTTTATGGATCTAAAAAATCCTGATGGATTTTAGAGCCAAATTGCAAGGTCTGCAGAAGTTTACAGTCAGAAAATGTAGACATAAGTGCTAGTTCTTGGATTGTTATGACCACATATTGGCAAGAAAGATTCATGTGAAAATGATGGAATCTATTCAACTCAGATGTGGTAAAGATTACCCCAGTATTTCTGAATTAAGGAACTCAAATGTCCAGTGTAATTGATCACCTTGCCTCTTACTCAGACACATGATACTGCCTAAAACTACTGTCAAGAAGGTGGAACTCCACATTAAGTCCAACTATATAAACCTGTACAGCCATGGTGGTAACAAAGTGATCATTCTGAAGCTTTTTTAATCAATGTGTAACAGAAGTTACCAACTCTAATAACTCTATTAAACCATTTCCTCTAAACTCAACTGTGACTGGACCATTTACAAATCCAAGTGTCTTTTGCAGTGCAAATCACTGCAGCTGTAAATGTACACAGTATGCTTCTGTGAAAGCTCGTAGACAACGGTTGAAAACAACGTCTCTTTGTGAAACTTGTTGTAAACTATCTCATGATTCACTGAACGCTTGTCTGACCAGTGACTGTAGGATGTGTCAACAATATCATCATACATTCCTGTGCCCAAAATACTTCTCCCAAGTTAACACCTCTCTGTGTTCACTAAGAAAGGGACCCATGGATAAAGTAGCTGTGGCATTGCCAGTAGCAAATTGAGGGTGAGGAAGGTGTTGGAAAAAAATAGACACTTTTAGATATTTGTTCACAGATTACATCGTTTGGTGGACGACATGAAATTAAAACCACAACGTAAAATCCATTCAAGGGTTGTGGGCTTTGTAAGAAAGTCAGAATTTATTATCTTCAATGTACAGTAGTTAATTTTTCTTTCTAGTGGGTAAAAGGTTTTACTGGATGCAACCATATGTCAAGGAAGAGTTACCATCAGTTCCTATTGATGGACTTGCTAAGGCCAAACTAGAAAACTACTGCAGTAGATGAAAGTATGCTAAAAACATAAAAATTATATCAGTGAATTTTAATATTAGTTGACAGTGTTAGCTGTATTATACACTTAGCCCAGGTACCCAGCTATGGAAGCTGTTACATTATATTGCTGGGGTACCTGGCTACGCAGGCACTCTGAAATATAGAAGCTGCTGCGGGTTTTTCATGTTTATTTAATGAAAATGTTAATGTCTACGATACATTGTTTCTCTCTTGGAGCACACACAAACAAGTAATGGCAGCTTCCCTAACTTCTCCCTATGTTGCGGAGAAGCGTGTTTCAGGATGAAAAGACAGAAACCATAGGTAGGGATTTTACAATTCCTCCACCCATTTCTTTCTATTCACGAAGCAAGACACTTAAGTTTTCTTCTATTGAAAATTTCCCTAAAGTGGCTCCTTCCCACGAGTTGGTCATCTACAGTATTAAAGTTTATTTTCCCTTTTCAAACAACGTGCCTGTTATTTCCTAAGGTATTTTTTCTGGATATTATTCTTTATTACTGCCTAATCATTTTGGGTATAAATAAGCTTTTGGCTAATATTAAAGAATTCACAGCCACTTCCCCCAGTCTCAGTAACAGTAAGTTCACCCAGAGCAAGTTTTTTTTTTTACGGGGAATAACCCATCCGGGTTTAGTTTAAGGTTAGGTTAGGTTAACTTGAACTTTTAAATAATGCAGTGGATTTTGTTGTTACCGGCTAAGTTCCTACTAATGCTATTTTACCATGAGTGAGCTCTGATTGGCTGATCGTCCATTACCGGCGAACAATACGAGAAATGTATTTAAACGTGATTCTGGTGGCATTTGGCATTTATTTCGTTGTGTAGCTGTAAACATACCTAACTATCTTTCTGTTATGCACGGAAATTTATCGTTATAAAAGAGGCAACAGTTACTAGAACCTAAAAGAACCAGCCTAACCAACAAAATAAACCTACCTAACCTTACCTAACTTCCTGGCTAGGGGTCGTCATATTAATCAGAAAGTACTTAGCCAATCAGAGCGCACTCACGGTAAAATAGCATTAGTAGGAACTTAGTCGGTAACAGCAAAATATCAGCTATATTTAAATAAACACAGTTTAACACATTTGCCATAACTACAACAGTGTCCAGTATAAAACAGTGAAATTGCAGTGTTTTTAAATTTGTTTTCCATGAAAAATCAGCAGCTGTGAAGTTATAAATAATTACCAGGCTTTTTTCTGCCGTTTTCAGTTGTGATTTGCTTTAAACTAACCTTTGACATTCATGGAAATGATGAAATTAAAACAAATACAGATTCCCCTCCGGCCATTGACCAATCACCGTGCAACAAGTAGGAACTGACCAATAGCCTATGTCAATTTGGGCAACCCATCAAGCCACCCACACACACCCACAAAGCACTGTCTAAGATTGGTTAGGTAGGTTAGGTTAGTATGCATAGATATTACCAAGAAAATGAAGGTCAGATTCAAAGAAAAACGCCAGAAAAATATTTTTTTATGTTAATACCAAGTACTGTAGTTAGTAATACAAAATAATTACCCTTTTTTCCATCAGATTTAGATTCTAATACTGTGCTAAACAAACGCTTTGGTGCAGTCATTCTAGACAGAGCAAATATACCTGCACATTTCCATTAAGGATGAATACCGTTTCAGTAATGAATATGGACGTGTCTTGTCAAAATTACAGATTACCTTTAATGTCACAATAGAGTTTTGAGAAACAACAGTCCATAACATATGACTGCAAGCTAACTTTTACATCAATTCACCTGGCAGTAGTAATCAATAACACAAAACTGTTTAGAAAAAAAATAAAAATACTTGGTTTTCTTCGACTATCTCGTTATCAAATAAATATTATCCCTAAGGATTCAGTAATATAATTCTACGGTATCAATACAGTATGGGGACTGCACGATGTTGCTATTGTTTATTTAGCAGACTGCAGCTGGTCACAACAGTTACCTCCTACAAGCATGTTTCTCTTGGGCAGAACCATTTATACATAAGAAATATGACATTTTAATTAAACTGTAGCAGTGACAATAACGTGAGAAGAATCCACGGTGATACAAATCTTGTCCTGGCCATCACAATGGACATGTCAGGAGTGCATGCGAATCCAACCACCCAGTCTCAATCTCCCTTAAAATACTATGATTTATTCATCTACCTGCTCACTCTTAAGCTGTGAAGACTTTTGAGGCTTCTTTCGAAGTACTGTCACGGTGTCCCAATCACTATCCGTCATAATTGGGTATTTTTGGGAATCTTCTGGAACAGAAGTGCTCACACCACAAGCTTGGTCAGGCCGCTGCCGTCTACTGCACACTCGACCACCTCACCTGATGCAACACTTTAAATATCAACTACATCTGGATTATATTATTTTCAGATTATCCAGATATATTTAATGAATGATCAAGTACAAAATTAATTAATCAATCACGTTCAGGAAATAATAAATATTCTAAAATTAGTTGAGAACGTTTTCTATTATAAGAGGTATGAATCAGAAAGAATGAATTATTTCTTGCAGGGTAGGCTTACACAACACTGATGTTCTCACTTTTGCTTTCTATTTAAGTATTCTGGACAACGCATAGATACATATATATTTATTTGTGAAATATTCATACAAGCTTACAGGTAGTTCAGCAGTATATACAAATACTGGTAAACGGTAAGGTAATTCGACCAAGAATAGCAAACAAAGCCATTAGTAGGATCCTAAGCAAACCTACACAAAGAATATTTTACTAAAACAAAATGTCATTAGAATTTAATTTCATGCTTTAAATACGGAGGATAGATGATACGAAACGTATTACGTGGCTTATATGCAATCAACCGTTTACATGGCAGCTTTACAAACATTACATCATGATGAAGTAACATGTCAAAACTATCCCACTGCTGGATATTATCCCATAACTAATTTATCTTGCATTTCTCCATCGTTTCCATATATGTACACACACACACACACACACACACACATACATACATACATACATACATACATACATACATACATACATACATACATACATACATACATACATACATACATACATACATACATACATACATACATACATACATATATGCAAGTAAATCACTGTAGGTGCGCGTGATCTAGGTATATGCTGATAACCACAAGAAAAGAAGAAAACACGAAGTTCCCAAGCGCTTTTGTGTAATTCACATCTTCAGGGGTGAGTACAGACTAAAGAGGAGTACAAAACACGGTGTATATATACAGAGGAGGGTGAGACCAGGTCCACAATGGTCAGGTATTAGGTAAAGACCCTACTAATCTTTAAATAGCACGGCAACGGTCGGTAGTCAGGTCAGAGGGTAAGGTGACCCAACCTTCTCACCTGGTTACAAATCTTCTTAATTACAAAATTGTCCAGTTTGTGCATGCCATTACTCAAATTCATGTTGAATGCTTCGGTATGTTTAATGAGACTAGATTCTATGATGTTCCTACTATCAATTAAATTACAAGGTAATATTGAGGAGGCTGTGGGGTTTCGTGGATAAGCCAGTCTTCTATGCTGCTTGAAGACTGGGAGGGTGATCAGTTTCTCCTCCATCCTGTGTGAGTGCGAATCTCCGGGAGTCACCATTTGTAGGGTTTCGTGATATTATGTTGTCTAGCACTCAGGATGGATGGAAACTCTAAGGTGGTGGTTTTCTTATATAATATAAGTTATATGGTAGACAGTCTGGTGCTGGAGATGCCGTGTGGTGAGGAGCTGCTCATTAGACACGTTCGGCGAGTAGCTTGTTGAAGGAGGTAGATGTGCAGGAGCTTCGTTAGAGAAGATGTTGCCTGTTGCTGGCCTCCAGGTTGAATGAGAACGGGACAGCGAGGAGCTTGCTTGGAGGAGGTGTTGCGCGTTCAGGAACCGAGAGCAGAATAAGAGAGCTGGTTGGTGAGGACGCTCAGAGGACAGCTGGTGGGTCGCCATGCTCGCAAGCGGGAGCGAGGACCGCCAGGCAGGCGGAGGAGAAGCGAGGGCCGCCAGACAGTGGCGGAGGAGGAGGTGTTGCGTGTTCAAGAAGAGAGGCCAGAATGAACCTCAATGGAGAGACAGAGCTTATATACACAGCCGCCGGAAGTAGACCGTGGGAAGTCGCCGGTTTCTCGACTCTGTTGCTAGGGAACGGTAGCAGCTGGTGGCTGGTTGCTAGGATACTGTGGCATCTGGTGACGCCCCCCCCCCCCTGGGCCGCTCGTTTGGTTGCTAGGGAAGACGTAGCAGGTGGCATTGGAATGCGGCTACGCAGTTGTAGGGGAGACGTCCACTACAAGGCATTATCCCAGTCAATGCAATGCTTGTTTTCCCTCAAATGAACAAACAGAATATCTTAATATTACCATTTCACAAAAATTTCTCACACATTCCTTTACAACTAAAAACCTGGAACGTCAATGTGGCATTTTAAAAACTCATGCACTGTTAAACAAATGTTAATCAAGAACTCCCCCAACAACACAATTGGTTGCATTTATAAAGTTCCTTGCAAGGAATGCAATATGTTTTACTTAGGCCAGACAGGTAAAGATCTTGAAACTAGACTTAAACAACATAAATATAGCGTTAGGACAGGCCAGGAATCCAATGCTCTGTTTGTTCATTTGAGGGATAACAAGCATTGCATTGACTGGGATAATGCCTCCTCATTATTACCTTGTAATTCAATTGATAGTAGGAACATCATAGAATCTAGTCTCATTAAACATACCGAAGCATTCAACATGAATTTGAGTAATGGCATGTACAAACTGGACAATTTTGTAATTAAGAAGATTTGTAACCAGGTGAGAAAGTTGGGTCACCTTACCCCCTGACCTGACTACCGACCATTGCGGTGCTATTTAAAGATTAGTAGGGTCATTACCTAATACCTGACCATTGTGGACCTGATCTCACCCTCCTCTGTATATATACACCTTGTTTTGTACTTCTCCTTAGTCTGTACTCACCCCTGAAGATGTGAATTACACGAAAGCGCTTGGGAACTTCGTGTTTTCTTTTTCCTTGTAGTTATCAGCATATATATATATATATATATACACACACACATACATACATACATACATATAACACGCATGTTATATGGACTAAAAATGAAGTATATAATAATAATAATAATTGACGGTAAATTGAAAAAGTTCTGCAGCCCGAAGGCTGAAAATATACATTGGACATAAATGACTTATTACATACATTGGTGGTTTAACAAAAGCCTTCATTAGAGAAAGGTAAAGGAACATACAGTGAACATACAGATTATTGTAGGTGTTGAACAGCAAACACGTAGTGTAGTAACTCCCTCCCAGATGGTGTTAGGAGGGGCCTCACGTGGTGTAGTAGTTCCCTCACAGATGGTGTAATGAGGGGCCTCATGTGGTGTAGTAATTCCCTCACAGATGGTGTTATGAGGGGCCTCACGTGGTGTAGTAATTCCCTCACAGATGGTGTTATGAGGGGCCTCACATGGTGTAGTAACTCCCTCACAGATGGTGTTATGAGGGACCTGACGTGGTGTAGTAATTCCCTCACAGATGGTGTTATGAGGGGCCTCACGTGGTGTAGTAATTCCCTCACAGATGGTGTTATGGGGACATGTGGTGTAATTCCCTCACAGATGGTGTTATATAAGGTGAGGTGTGGTCTGAGCCTTCCTATCGTGAACGGATTAACACATCATACCAATTTGTTGTTAGGTCTCACCATGCATTATCATGGGTACCTGGGGGACCTCCTGTATGAAGGATTAACTTGGTGCAACTGTTACTGTTGAGTTATTTCTCATGACTTAGCACTGTTCACCACTGTTCACCTCTGTTTAACACTGGTTCCATTCCTTTCCTAAATGAAATTGTAACTTCTGGCGAGAACTTGTTGATATTCCGGTGGGGAGGAGGGTTCAGGGGAGGGAGTTGGTAGGGGCCAACTTAACAGTTGACCTGGCTGCTCCGAGAGGAGCGCCAGGTACGTCTTGACGCTTCGGTGGTCAAAGATGTATATGGTACCTCGTGTTTCATTCCAGCTGGATTCGGTAAAATGCTACTGACACCACATACGAGGCATGGACAGTTCCCAATGAGGTTCACGGCGCCATCAGCTCGATGCACAGGCTTTGTGTGAAATATAACAGAGTCTAGAACTGCTTTTAGTGTCCTTGTGGGTTGGTCGGTTCGTTCCCGAGTCCCACCCAGTAGGTCGAGGGTTCGATTCCTGGCTGGTGAGGTCGTTGATTATATGTTCAAAGTCTGCGTGTTATATGGACTATAAATGAAGTATATATATGGTACCTCGTGTTTCATACCAGCTGGATTCGGTAAAATGCTACTGACACCACATACGAGGCACGGGCAGTTCCCAATGAGGTAAACGGCGCCATCAGCTCGATGAACAGGCTTTGTGTGAAATATAACAGAGTCTAGAACTGCTTTTAGTGTCCTTGTGGCCTAGCCGGTAAGCGTTCCCTAGTCCCACCCAGTAGGTCGAGGGTTCGGTTATACCTGGTGAGTCGTTGATTATAGCATTTCCACAAAGTCCGCGTGTTATATGAAATTATTTGATTATATATGAAGTCCATTGCTTTATTGAGCTAATGAAATATATATGGATCCTCGTGTTTCAGAAGCGGATTTGGTAAACAATTTACTCTGATCACCTAAGAGGCACGGGTGGTTTATTGAGTTCACGGCGCCATAAGCTCGTTGAACAGGCTCTGTGAAAATATAACAAGTCTGACTGTTTTAGTGTCCTGTCGGCCCAGAGGAAGAGTTCCCCGGTTACAATTATAAGATCGTGGGTTCGATATATATGTGCGTATATATATATGTATGTATGTATATATATATATATATATATATATATATATATATATATATATATATATATATATATATATATATATATATATATATATATATATATATATATATATATATATATATATATAGTATATATATATATATATATATATATATATATATATATATATATATATATATATATATATATATATATATATTTCATAAATCACAATGAAAACGTGGATAAGATAAATCTTGATAAAATTCATTCAAAATGAAAGAAAATAAGTGAATCCCTTCCATTTCTTGATATGCTTATCATGAGAAATGGCCAAAACTATAAATTTAAGGTATATAAGCCCACACAGGTAGACAGTTTCATTCCTTTTTATCCAATCACCTTGAGTCTACCAAAATGTCAGTTTTCTGCTATGTTCCTACGATGTCTGCGTATTTGTGACTCTGAATTTATTGACGACGAATTTAAACACATTCGTTCT